GGGTACAAACCAACCCCAGCGTGGAGCTCTTACTCCCCAGAGCGGCACCCTCCTCACCCTCCTCCAAGCACCCTGTGCAGGCACAGGAGCTGCACCCTTATGGCATGTGCAGACCGAACCACGGACACAGCACCCAGTTCCCTGTGCCTGCCCCACTCCCTCACTCACAGATGGGCAGCAGCGCCTTCCCCTCGCTGCGCAGGCACATGGAGCCTTTTCTCCTCCCTGCGCAGCCCCACTCCCCTGGCCGCCTGGGACACTCTTGGCTCAGAATGTGGAAAAGAAGTGGTGAAACGTAAATCAGAAGCCAGTTGCAATGTCCAGGGCCCAGTTATCTGAATAAAATGCTACACAATTGCTGGAATACTGTATGGATGACTAATTGCTCCTGCCACTGTGTAATCTGGGCTTGTTAGGTGCGGCATATTTATCTCTCAAAAATGACTCTACAGCCATAATTCAGAAAATGCCAAAGAAAGATTCATAGACATTTTAATACAATAGCTCTGGGTTTGATAAGCAGAATCTGCTTTTATGTCTTGGTCCTCCTGAAAGTTTCTGTTGCGGATTTTTTGTTGGTTTGTTGGTGGTCTTTTTGCATGCATGCAAAATTTGGGGATCTAAGGTAAACTCCTTCTACAAGGGATATGGGAGAGACTGGCCTTCAGTCAGCAATATGTCCTCAAGAGACAGCTGAACCATTATTACTCAAAGGAAGAACAGCCCCCTGATATTATGGGGGTGATCCCTGGTTGGAATTCAGTAGAACCTAATTAGTCAGTATCAGTAAGAAGGTACTGAAGAATGAAGGGTCTAATGCTTTGGTGCACTGTTGTATGGACTTTGGGATAACTATGCCATTGCAATAGCTTGCCTTTCCAGTGAAAGACGCCTATGTGCAAAATGCATGTGTGATGGGGAAGAAGGGGCTCCCATTGTCACCCGTGAATATCGTATCTGTCTGCTTCCTTTAACCTTAGCTGTGGATACTTGTGTGTGCAGTGAGATTAAAGCTTACAGATGGATATTCACCGATCAGTCTGCTTGGGCCAGAGCTTCTGGCCTGAAGAAGCGAATCGCTTCCTGGATTGACAGCAGAAAAAGCGGACAGACCTGCATAAACACTGCTGACTGCTGCCCCCGGCCGAGGTTCCAGCCAGAGAGGGTGGAGGCTGACTGATCATCACAGTGATGTTGGGCCAAGCCTGTAGGGTGATTGTTCTTGCAGATGTAAAGTGGGAAGTACAGTGACTGCAGCTAGCAAGGAAACGCCTTCCCTGCCAGTCACTCGTGCAGATCTGGCCCAGCCCATTATGGCCTCCTGTCCCCCATGTCCCTCATTGTGCCCTGCATCTCTGATGACCTCCGTGTCCCTGCACCCCACTCAGGAGCAGGACTTTGGTTGCCAGCCCCCCCAAAACCACTCCCAAGTCCATGCAGTGGCTCTGTCCCCACATCTCCACAGTGTCCCCCTTTCCCGGGGTGTGCAAAGGGTGGTGCCATGTGCCCGTCTTCCCACACCCGTTCCGAGCAAAATATATCAGCATTTTGCTCCCCCTGTGACCCAAATTTGCTCCCACCCATTCTCCTCAGCTGGCATCACCTGGTTTTGAGCTCTGAATTTCCACCTGCCCAGGGCCATTTCACCTGGGCTGCGGGCACGGCCCAGTTCTAGGCTGGTGCCTGACAGGGCAGATCAGCTCCTGAGCACACAGCCTGCTCCCACTCTGCTCCCATTTCCCTTTTCCTGTTGTTTTCTGGCCACTACACACTTGTGCTATTTTTTTGGTGTATTTTAAGGATGAGAATAGCCTTTAGTTAATCTAATAAGAATAAACTTCATATTCAGCCCTCATACCATTAAGCCTGGTGCCTTGTGTGTGTCCTGGGGGGTTCACCTCCAGGAGAGAGAGACTACTTCATTCTTCATGCTTGGCCTTTCTTCTGATGCTTCCAAGAAGGATGCCAGTTAGTGCTAATTAAGGCAGGAGATTTTGAGATATGGAAACCTTGACTAGGAACTGGACTGATATCACCCACTCCTTCCACAAAAGACATGGAACAGCTGTGAAATGATTGCTCCCAGTGGCACGCTCATGCAGAGAAAGCCTGGATTTGATCTGGGCATGGACAGACACCCAGCAGAAGGTCTGTAGTTTAGACTCAGCTTAGGAAATGGGATCTTTATTTAGGAAAGAAAAGGAAAATTTGAAAGAGCTGTCTTTGAAACGCTCTGTAGCGCGTACAGTTTTGTAAAATGCACTTCCAAACTGTGGTTGTAAAAGGCTACAGAAAATACATAAACCTGTACTAATCACACGTGGAGAATTATCCTTATCTTGTAATGTTCGGCCGGTCCTCTCCAAATGAAAAGAAAGCACAGAAGTGTGTGCCTAGGTGCTCGCATAGAGAAGCCAGCCTCATGGGGTGTTTGGAGGCAGATCCTAATGAACAGGAGATGGCAGAGGACGATATCCTGTGGAAAGCTTTGAAAGCTGAATGATGTGTGTTGCTGTGGTAGAGAGAATGCTGGAGGAGCAAAGCAGAGGCAGGTGACTGCTGGCTGAAGCTGCAGTAGTCAGAGAACATTTGGATGGATGCTTATCTGAGCCCTCTTATTTCCATTCTTAGAGTAAAATGAGCAAGACAACGACTTGGGCATGTACAAGGAAGAAACAGTGTAACACAGGAAAAAAGAACCGTTTCCAAATCCCAGTGTGGGAGAGAAAAAGACAGGCGCCCATCCCTGGAGGCACAAGAGACCGCACAAGATGGCAGCCGGGACTGCAGCCACACACAAGATGGTGCCTGGAGCTGGAGGCGCCTCCCAGGGCCATCCCTGGTCTCTCCCTCCCCAACCCTGGCCCCGGAGCAGCAGAGGGCAGGCGGAGCCCCTACTTTCAGCCCCCTGTTTAGATGGACAGTAATGAACAACGGGCTGATCGATCCAGTTTTGCATCTTTGGTCTCTACACGCAGAGATCCACGAGCCAGTTTGTAACCTCGGCTCTCAGTGCTTTCATCTGATGTCAAGTCAGTCCAAATAGGTGAAAATGGGAAGAAACTCCGTGGTTTGCACCTTTTAAAGTTATATGGAGGCAACAAAGGGCCAAAAGCACTTCTTGTCCAGATGGACTTCCTTTAACCTAAAGAGCCATCAGGGCAGGTTTCTTTCAGACAGGAGTCATAGTGACTCTGAGGTGACTCTTAAGAAGGAGATGGGATCTACTTGAAGTCCATTGTGCAGTGGGTGCTTCTCTGAGACATGTATGCCTAAGGCTACCTATTTGTTTTAGAACACTAAGAAGACTATGTACATAGAGTTTGGGGAAAAAACAAACAAACAAACAAAAAAACCCCCCAAACACCAAAATTCCAGCAGGAAGTCCACTCTGGTTTGTTTTTCCCTAATGAGATTCTTCTGGTTCAGCACGACCTTCTGTTCAGCAACAGACAGACTCACAGGCTAGGGCTTCTCAGGCTGCTGCTCAAGGAAGCATTACTTGAGTAGGGCATTGCAGGAAAAAAAAATAAAAAGAAGAGAAGGCCAAACACCACTGAAGAGAAACAGACACTGAGAACGTGAAAAAATGCAGGAAATGTGAGGGGGAAAGGGCAGGAAATGTGATGGAGAAAGTGTGAGAAACGGGAGGGGATAAAAGGAGGGAAATGTGAGGGGAAAAGGGGGGGAAACATGAGGGGGAAATGTGAGAAATGGGAGGGGAAACAGGTGGAAAACATGAGGGGGAAAGTGTGAAAACTGTGACTGGGACAAGCACAGAAACGTGAGGGGAGAAAAGGGCAGAAAACATGAGGGGACAAGGGCAGGAAACATGAGGGGGAAAAGTGAGAAATGTGAAGAGGAAAGGGTGGGAAACGTGAGGAGGGAAAAGGCAGGAAAAGTGAGTGAAAAAGGGGAGGGCAACAAGTGAAAAAAGGGACTGAACTGTGAGGGGGAAAGGGCAAGAAATATGAGGGGGAAAGGAAGGGCAAGAAACGTGACTGAAAAGAGGAGAGAAACGTGATCGGAGAAAAGGGCAGAAAACGTGGGGGGGGGAGGGTGAGAAATGGGAGAGGGGGAAAAAGACATTTCATTTCTTCATTTCATTTCCTCAAGTCTTGAACCACAGTACAGACTTGTCTTTCTCCAGCTGTTCAGAATTTTCGTACTGGCTCCTGAAGAAGGATGCTCGTGTGTTTATAGATTCAAGCACAAATACTTCCAAAGCAATCCCAAGGCTTGTAGGCACCGTGCGTATGTCCAGGGTAGATGTGGAAAGACCATCCCAAAGCACCCGTCTCTGCAAGCACACCTGCACTTCCAAGAGGCAGCTGCACACTCTAAAGAGGCCTCCAGGCTAAACGCGATTTCTAATTTGCGAGTCCAGTCTCTAAAACAAGACAACACCCAGACTGAACTCTCTGCCTGACTGGGTGTGTTCCTGTGATAAGAAATCCAGTGTTCATTGTGCATTTCTGTTGAGCTTTTCAGTGTCATTTTGAGCCTGTGCCACTTCTACAGCTTTAGAAGAAATAAATTCTGCAGCTGAGATGGAGAAGAGCTGACCACGTAGTTCAACCCAGAACTCCAGTAAACTAGAGGCCAGGTTATGTAGCTTTTAGACTTTCCATGGAAAGGCAGAGTTTGATGAACCACAACGAAATCATTGATGCCGGCTCCATGTGTTTCAGTAAACTAGTCTGCAAGAAGTGCCTGACAGGGTTTTATCTCCAGCAGGCAGACTTTAAAACTTCTGGTGGAAAATGCAGAGTTTCAGTCAACTGTCAGCTTAGTGGAAATCAAGTGGGAAAAAAACCCCACAACATCATTGTTGGCCAGTGCAGTGAGGAGGCCCAGAGGCTGCTGCGCTCTGGTGCAGTCAGGGATGAGAACAACGGCCCTGTGGCCAGAGCCAGCTCCAGCTCCAGCTCCAGCTCCAGCACCTGCAGGGGGGAACCTCCCATTTTGACATCGCTGGTCAAACTGCGAGGCCACATCCCTCGCTGCTCATGTTTGGGCACCAGCAGAGCCTGGGCCAGGCTGGTCCAAGCCTTGACTCCTGCCGAGCGTGCCGGCGAGGGGGAGCAGCTCCTGGTCCTCAGCTCTCTCCAGCCCCACGCAGAGCACAGAATGGCCATGGAGACACAGTGGGGCTGCCCCATGTGCCAGGACATCAAAATGGCGTGGCTGCCTCTCTTCCCTGTCACCACAAGTTCTGCAGGGTTTGCATCCCGTGGTGGACAAGGAGAAATCCAGCGTACCCACTCTGCAGCAGGACAGTAAAGACTGTCAGGTTTCCTGGCCATGAAGAACATGATTATATAGAGACGGCCATCACAGCCCCCGAGGAGTTACTGGAGAGCAGGAGTTGAGCAGGGAGAGCTCCCTCCCACCTGCCCGGAAACAGCCCCCATCGCCCTGTGGTGCCCACTCCACCTCCCCCACCCGGAACACTGTCCCCAGCTGGGCAGGGGACTGCAGGGCCACAGCCCACGGACGGCATCCTGCCCGAGGTGTGGGCAGGACTGTTCCGTCGACAGCAGCATCTCCTGGACCGCGTGTGGCCCTGCCTGCGCCAGAGGCTGGAGGGAATATACTGGGACCAGTGGTGGCTGGCCACTGATCCACAGCGTCAGCAGTGTCATCGTGGGCCGGTGCAGCGAGGAGGCACAGGGGTTGCTGGGCTCTGCTGCTGCCAGGGACGATGCAGGTCCAGCAGCACCAGAAGCTCCAGCAGCCCCAAGTCCAGCAGCTCCCAAGAGGGGACTCCCACCAGCAGCCCCGCAGGCTCCAAAGTGGAGGAAGCCGATACATCGGCGGCCACCCCTCCTGGCAGTCCCAGCTGCCCCCGAGCTGTGCCTGACTCCGCAGAGCAGGAGCAGCAGGCTGAGGGGGCAGGTCCCTCTGCCCAGGGCAGCAGCCGCGGCCCCTCCGCTCTCAGACGGGGCAGGAACCGCTTGCCCGGGGCGTCCCAGCACCTCCCCAGAGGAGGGTCCCCAGCCCGCAGGATTGCCCTCCGCCCAGCAAGAGGCCGCCTCACCGGCCCACGTGCTGGGGGATACGGCCACGGGCCCGGGAGCCCCAGGACCATGTCCACGGCAGAGAATCGCTGGTGACAGACTGAAGCTTTGCCAGCTGTGAAGATGAATTTATGTAAATAAGGGGCATCATTTATGTAAGAAATTCATCACTTGATGAATTTGTGCAAATAAGGAATAGTTATGTAAAAATATTCACCATTTGATGTAAATAAATTTGATTAACTGATGCAAATATATTCCTATACAGCACGAATATCAGGTAGGGGACCTCTGAAAAGGTCTGCAATTCACACTCCTTCTTGATTCAGCTTTGGGATGGACATGAACAGGGCACAGAAAAACGGGGAGGGACAGAGTTTGGGAGCGCTGTTGTCGAACAGCGGAGCTGGAAACACAGGAGCGGCAGCAGATGGAACACGTGGAATGCGGGCGCGGGTTCCGAGCAGCGCGACCCACGGGGGAGCCCTGAGGCGTGAGGCGCTGTGAGGGGGGCGAAGCAGAGACAAGCACACCCATGTGACGTTTGCCGTGCTAATTTATTGTCCGGCCCGCCGTGTGTCCGTACGGGGCCTGGTCCGCGCTGCCCGGTGCCCGCTCAGCGGCGTCTGCGCCTCCTGCCGCCCCGGCGGCGCCGGCGGTATCTGGAGCGGCGGGATCCAGCCCGCCGCCTTCTCCGCGCGCCCGGCGGCGGGAGCGGCGGCGGCTGCGGAGCGCCGGCGGTAGCGGCCATGTGGTGTGCGGGGCGTGCGGCTCACCCGCTTTTATTGGGGAGCCGGGGACCCCCTTGTGACGCCAGAACTTTGCAGAGCCCCTCTCATCAGCGAGGTCACAATGGCCGCGCAGAGATGCCCTGATGTGCGTTGGGTGTTCAGCACGCACGCTTCTGATATGGACACATATCCATATCCGATATGGATATGTGCAAATTCCACATCTTCAATATCAGAACTCGTGTATTTTGTGAAGGAGTATTATTGTAAATCCTCTTAAGTAACTGGCATACTTGCTGAGGTGCTGTGTGGGCTGGGCACTGATTTTTTTGCAAAACCCAGCCAAAAAAAGTTGTCCAGCCCTCAGGCTGCACTTGTCTGAGCCGTTCGTGGATGCATGGCAGCGTGAGGCATGTGCCAAAGGGAGTATTGGAGCAGGTACTGATTTTGTTGCTAGTTGACAGGTTTACTTGCAGATCTTGGGTGATATGGGGGCTTGGTGTTTATTTTTGCAAAGCAGGAGAGTGATGGCTCACAGAATCTTGAGTCAAACAGCATATTTTTAATGGTGTACATCTGTTTGCATTTTCTGTTAATAGTGAAATGTTCTTCATATTGGCTTTATGCTTGTTTATTCTTTCCTTGAAGATACTTCTTAAGAAAGGTCTTAACAGGGTATGAGAAGAAAAAACAGTCTGTAGGAGGTGGTAACCACTAAGCCTGGCGCAAGGCTATTTTAACGGAAAGGACATGTTTGCATGCCCAGATTTTCTTATTTTTCCTTTGCAGTCTAGCCCCAGCTACTCTGAAGAACAGATGCCAGTATCTGCACAATAAGATGTCTCACATTAAGAGACTAATATCGGATTTGACAAAACAGCAGGTGGAGTTCTGGCACCAGCTGTGTCAGCCAGGACACATCTAGGAACTATATCTTATTTATTTGAAATTTAAGATTATGTATGTCGTTACTGAACTGTAGCATATCAAACTTGTGCACTAGGTTTCAGTATTGTTAACTACTTTTGTTGTTCCTGTTGCTTATATTTGAAGCTGCTTTTTTCTTGTCTTTTCTTCAGGACTTAGGTTTTTACATTGAAATAAACTTATCAGTAGATACTGAAGACATAGTACCTTTACTATGAAGTTGTGCATATTTGAATTAAAAATAGTGTAGGAAATTGAAATACTTCAAGGCTGTTTTCTGTCGTCTCTCATTAATGCAAACTCTTCACTTTAAGTGGTAGAAGGGGCAGGCACTTATCTCTGCTCTGTAGGGACCAGAGACAGGACTCAAACCAGAAGGAACGGCCTGAAATTGTGTCAGGAGAGGTTTAAGTTGGATATTAGGAAAAAGTTCTTCCCCCAGAGGGCGGTCGGGCACTGAACAGGCTCCCCAGGGCAGTGGTCACAGCACCAAGGCTGCCAGAGCTCAAGCAGCGTTTGGCTGATACTCCGGGCACACGGTGTGATTCTTGGGGGTGGTCCTGTGCAGGTCTGAGGGTTGGACTCGACCCTTGTGGGTCCCTTCCAACTCGGTATATTCCGTGATTCTGTGAAAACAGTAAGAACAAAACCGAATCTGCGGGCCAGGAGGAGCGAAAGCCCCGAGCCACCTCCTCCCGGCCCCATTGCCCGCCCGTGCCCCGCTCAGCTCCCCGCGAGCCGCAGCGACCCCGCGGGCGCCATGGAGGACGCGCTGAGGCGGGAGCTCGGCAACGGCGCTGCTGCGGCCCACCGGGCACACCGGCGGCGGCTGTATCAGCCAGGGCCAGAGCTACGACACGGACCGCGGCCGGGTGTTCGTCAAGAGCAACCCCCAGGCGGAGGTGTGGTGGGGTAGGGAGCGGGAGCGAGGGAGGTGGGCAGGCGGCGCTGTCGGAAGTAGCATTCCTGGCTCGGGTCAGCACTAGTGTGGCAGCAGGACCGGGGCAGTGACTGTTCCTGTGTTGGGCACTGCTGGGGCCACACCTCGAGTGCTGGGGGCAGTTCTGGGCCCCTCAGGACAAGAAAGACACTGAAGGGCTGGAGCGTGACCAGGCAGGGAACTGAGCTGGGGAAGGGTCTGGAGCACCAGGAGCGGCTGAGGGAGCTGGGGGGGCTCAGCCTGGAGAAAAGGAGGCTCGGGGGGGACCTTCTCGCTCTCTGCAACTCCCTGAGAGGAGGGTGGAGCCAGGGCGGGGTCGGGCTCTGCTCTTAGGGAACAAGGTTAGGAAAAGGGGAAACGGCGTCAAGCTGTGGCAAAGGAGGTTCAGGCTCGCCATCAGGAGGAATTTCATCATGGAAAGGGTTGTTAAGCATTGGAAGGGGGTGCCCAGGGAGGTGCTGGAGTCCCCATCCCTGGAGGCGTTTGAGAAACGATGATGTGGCATCAGTGCTCTGGGTTGGTTGACAAAGTGATGATGGGTCAAAGGCTGGACTCAATGATCTTGGAGGTGTTTTCCAACCTAAGTGATTTCTGTGGTGGGATTGTGTTGTGGTATCAGTATTGTTTGTCCAGGGCATGCAGTACTATGACATGTTGTTGTCATTCGTGGGGGGGCGACAGTGGTGTAACTGTGTCTGCGAGTGCTGTAATAGTGTCTAAGGCAAACTGGCAGGTGTAAAATTGTCTGCACCTTTTGTGGTTGTAAGTAAACCACTAATTAATTCCCTGCGTGTGAGGAGCTCTTCTCAGTAAGTGATATTTTGCCACAATTCCTCAAGATTTTCTGCTTTCAATACCTGGAACTGCCTGCTGTTGAAGGTAGATGTCAGCATTTGATGGACATAAGTACAATGCAACATAGCTCTACAGCAGGAAAAGCAGAGCTCAGGTGGAATTTCCTTTAAAGATACCTTATAGTTGTGTCTATCAAGTAAAAAGTTTCAATGGCAGAACAGAAGTCAGAACTTGTGTTTGTCTTTCATAGCAAACAAATGTGTTTGGAAGCATGTATGCCACTATATTTATTCCAAATTTCTCTATGCTTTCTGTTCATATTGGGGAGCTAGATGGATGCACAGAGGTGGTAACTTGGGTCAATATAGGAAGGTTATCCAGCTTTACAGAAAAGAGTTTGAATTGGTAGCATCAGTTGTTTGAAATACAGATAGGTAGTTTGAATGGGCCCTTCCTATGCCTTTGATAATTGTGTATTTAACTAGCTAAATACACAGCAGCCAGCTAGCTGCAAGATTGCGCTTGGGGAAAAAAAGATCTCGGTGTATTTTTCTATCCAGCTGTTTCCTTTTCAGTGCTTTTGCCTGTGTGTGGATCCTGAGCACTGATGAAAGTGAACTTTGCTCAAGTGTGTTGTAAATGCTGTGCTGTGTGTACAGCAGCAGCTGTGCATCAGCAGTTTTTACTCTATTTTAGCAGCAGGCTTTAACCTAGTATGATGCTTTAGACAGAGATACAGTATTAACTGATTTCCTCTGAACAGAGCTAACTCATGGCTGAGTAGCTCAGCAGTTCTTCACTCGTGAGTCAAAAAGAGGGCTACAGAGACGGTCAGAGAGATGGAGCACCTCTCCTATGAGGAAAGGCTGAGAGAACTGGGATTATCCAGCCTGGAAAAGAGAAGGCTGGGGGGAGACCTAATTGTGGTCTTCCAGTACCTGAAGGGGCAGACAGGAAAGATGTCTTTTTTACAAGAGCAGGCAGTGACAGGACAAGGGGGAATGGGTTCAAACTGACAAAAAATAGGTTGGGATGGAATGCTGGGAAGAAATTCTTCTCTGTGAGGGTGGTGAGGCCCTGGCACAAGTTGCCCAGAGAAGCTGTGGCTGCCCCATCCCTGGAAGTGTTCAAGGCCAGATTGAATGCATCTTAGAGCAACCTGGTCCAGTGGAAGGTGTCCCTGCCCATGGCAGGGAGTGAAACAAGATGAAATTTAAGGTCCATTCAGACCCAAACTGTTTTGTCATTTCTATGATGTCCTGTAGGCTTTGGAATTTTTATTTGATGTCTGTTGCAAATTGTCCTTTGGCAGTGTTTCATGTATCAGTACTAAAGGGGTAGCATTCTGTTTTATTTGTTGTGGCTTCTGTTTTATTTATTATAGTTCCTGCTTTTATTTTCAACCACATTTGTTAGATTTCCCACATGCTCTTTTTCTGCAATGTCTGCCTGACTCTTCTAAAGTAGAAGCATTTAACTTTTACAGCCTTGATTGGTTTTGTGAAAGTGCTGTTTTGTGAAAGTGCCTGGTTTACCAGTGACTGATTTTCATGGAGACTGATGCTTTTCTCTAATGTCTGGCAGGCCAGAAGAATGTTTGAGGGAGAAATGGCAAGTTTGGAAGCCCTCCTGAAAACGCAGGCGATAAAAGTGCCTAAACCCATCAAAGTTATAGACCTGCCTGGGGGCAGCACTGCGTTTGTGATGGAACATTTGGAAATGAGAGGCTTAAACAGGTAAAACACAGTGTTATCTTTGCCTCCTTTAACGAGAAATTTTGGTTGTTGTGACAGTTACGTCACTTGTTTTCAGAGGGGAAACTTGTTTAAATTTTTACAGAGCAAGTCAGGAAACATACAGAAAGTTATACAGCAGACAACTGTATAAAATATAATGCCTCACCTAGAAAATTGGTCATACATCAAGAAATGAGTTTGAGTTTTGGTTACTTTTGGATTTGTTTGCTTAGGTAATTAGTGATAAAAGTAAGCTTCCTTTTTATAGTAAGGAAAATGACCTGATCACCTGTTCTGTGTACTTGCCTTTGATATGAGCCAGTGCTTTGTTGCTTGCCATGAGTATGCAGAAGCACTTCCCCAAATGAATTAATTTCAATATTTTTAGAACTCTTGCTTTCATTTTGATAGTTTCAGACTTTCAACCCTTCTCTCTAACAAGCATTTATATGTTGAATCCATGTGTCTGATTTCATTAGGGACGTGGTCATGACCAGTTTCTCACCTCATTTTCAGAACTTCTGCAGCCAGTTTAAAGTCATCCCTCATTCTGCTTCCTGGGAGAGTTTCTAATTCATGAAGAGCCCTCAGTGAGCCCCCAGAGAAAGGGCAAAGATCTTGTTTTGGATTGCAAACTCTTCCTTTTTCATGCAGATATCTGGGGATAATTACCACCTGTGCTAACAGGAACAAAATGAAGAAATAAATTTGTCTTAAGTGACAGTGCCTTGAGAACAGGGAAAGTAGAGAAACATCAAAGACAGGAAAAGGAATGTACTGTTATTAATGTGGGAGGCAACTGGCTGTAAGAGTTGTTTGTAATTGCTGCAAGACTTTATTGCAGTGTGTAGAGGATGAGCTCTTATTAAAAGTAGATAATAAACAAGGCCTACTTGACTGCCACATCTTCTAGACCTTTTAGAGAAAAGAAGCTAGAGACAAAGATACAGAGAAGAGAGCCTTGTTTGGCTCTGTTTCCAAAGACTTTTTGTCATAAAAAAAAAAGGCATAACATGTTGTGCTTTCTCACAGATATCTTACTGGAAGTTCTTCTGGAAGTGATATCGCACAGAAATTAGAATTGATAGTTCTTCATTTTTTTTAACAGTCACATCAGAAACAACCACATAAGTATATTTTGTCTGTGTGCAATATTGATAGAAAGAGGAGGCATTTTTAACTGAAATCTTGTAAAAAATTATTTTGTTAGAGATGCAGACTTCTTTTACTTACTTGATAAATATTTTGAAGTAATTCCTTGGTTATCAAGACGTGAATTCGTTCATGTGTCAGTGTTGCTAAGAATATTTTTTTTCATAGACATTCAGCTCTTCTTGGAACACAACTGGCTGATCTTCACCTTCATAACCGGCAACTTGCAGAGAAGCTGAAGAAGGAAGAGAGCACAGTTGGTACAGTACTGTTTGCAAATTTAACCTAATTAATAATAATCTACAGAAGAGTTGAAATAGCTTTTGCCACTTCAGGACAAGTTTGTCTCTTTCCACTAAAGATAGTATGAGTTGGATGAAGCACCCAGGTAGGAGGGCTTCTTTTTGCTTTTGTTTGCTCTGTTTGGATCTCTGTGAGCAAAACACACTCAATTTGACACTCTCAGGAGTCTAAACCACAGTTTCTAGGAGGACATGACATCAGAGGAGACACAATACCTCAAAATGTGATTATGAAAAGTAGAATATGGCTGCTTTACATTGAGCTTTAAACTTAAAAAACAACAGCAACAACCATTGTAAAAAAAAGAGCAATTTTGTTTTTATTCTCAGTAGAAGCAGCATTGTACTTTTGCATAGTTTTTAAGGTTCATTTACATTGTGGCTGCTTAATATTTTGTCATTAGTGTTGAATTTTTGTTTTTGGTTTGAAAGGTAAGGGGCAAGGGCAAACGGAAGTCCAGTTTGTGGATCAGTTTGGCTTTCATACAATTACCTGCTGTGGCTATCTTCCACAGGTAGGTTGTACATCATCAGAAGTTTATCATTTTAAGTTTATCTTTTTTTAAGTTTATCTTTTTTTCTCTTCAATGACAGAAAGGGTCAAAATTATCATAATAAATTATTTTTTGTGGAACAGTGAAAAGAAAAAACATTTTCCAGTCTTCTAAGGAAAGTAGTGCTTTGGACAGCACTTCTTGCTGCACTGGACATTCATAGCTCTTCCATTTCTTGGGTTTTAATCACTAAAGAAAACTTTACTCCCCTAATTTAATGTTTTAAGATAATGTCCAGTTAAATGGTAGCATTTACTGTTGTATTTGGTACCAGCACAAAGGTACCAAACAATCCTTAAAATGTTTATTTGAAAATGAAGAAAGTAAGCCTTTCATATGGTGTAGAACTGACAGGTCAGTCCTGTCCTTCAGGTGAATGACTGGCAGAGTGACTGGGTGACCTTCTTTGCCAAACAAAGAATCCAGCCCCAGATGGACATGATCGAAAAGAGTTCAGGAGACAGGGAAGCAAGAGAACTTTGGGCACAACTTCAGGTAGGAGCAATTCTCTCCGTTCTCGTTATAGTGATAGCTGGGTATCAGTTATTCAGATTTTATTTTCTTAAAACAAAGTTGCTGTTTTTTAGTTTGGCCCTGGTTCTGTTGGTAAGAAACTCCAGTTTTTAGGTCTTAAGAGGCCCTTTATTTTAAGGTGCAAGGGCTTTTGCTACATCACCCTATGCTAGTATTCCAAAGTGAATTCCAGAGTGACAGATAACACCTTGCCTCACTGTTTGGGAAATACTAGATGGAGTTCATATTTCTCATTCCCTGTAACATGTTCATGATGAGAAATGTACATAAGCACATTGTCTGTTCATTTACTATTTGCATCTAATTAAGTGACTGCAGTATTAGCTCCTTGGGTACTACTTTGTGGAAATTCCTCAGGGTTGGTGAGAAATCCATGAGCCTTCTAATGATGAAGTGGTGATAGTGGTTGTTCTTAAACCTGGTCAATATTCCAGCACCAAATACAGTTTTAAATATTTAATTTTTTGCTAAAAAAGGTTTGGATGCTATTCTTTTGCTGCTGACTTTATGAAAAATAGTAATCTTCTGGATTTGCTCAGCGTCTTTGTTTACTTGTCCTATGCTGTTTATGCAGATAAAACTCTATAATCATTCACTTTAAAATGTATTTATATGTCTTGTTTTTTCCTTCTGCAGCTGAAAATACCCAGTTTGTTCTGTGATATAGAAATTGTTCCTGCTCTCCTGCATGGAGATCTATGGGGAGGAAACGTAGCTGAGGATGATTCTGGTCCAATTATCTTTGATCCAGCTTCTTTCTACGGCCATTCAGAGTATGAGCTTGCAATAGCTGGGATGTTTGGTGGCTTCAGCAGTTCTTTTTATTCTGCTTATCACAGTAAAATTCCCAAAGCTGCAGGGTTTGAGAAACGCCTGAAGCTTTATCAACTGTTTCACTACATGAACCATTGGAACCATTTTGGTTCAGGATACAGAGGGTCTTCTTTAAACATTATGAGAAACCTTGTAAAGTGACTTGCTACTTAGGCCAAATACCTCCCAGGTTGTTTGGAAAACCCCACACTCATTGGTGCAGCTACAGGAGTAGTAATGTTAAAAAAATCCTCTGAGACCCCTCACCTTGTTGTTCAGCTGAAGATCTACAATCAGTAAGTCCTGCTGAATAACAAGCGTAACAGACATCCCTTTGTAGGATAGTTGGGAGTAACTTTAGGAGGGAAATATCTACGGACAGTTTATTCATTTGCAGAGTGAATAAAGGCCTCAGTGTCCAAAAAGCATTGTGTGCTTGAGACTATGCAAGGCAGTAGAAATGAACACTGAGGAGATGGCTAGAAGAAGTGCTCATTGCTTTTTACTGTGTCTTCCCCCCTTTAGGATAGATTGCTCAGACCCTTTCAGCTTTTCATGTCCAGTTGTGTGCATGAGAGCAATATTAACAACATAGTCTGAAAGTCAACAGGATAAAAAATTTAATGGGAACTGTGAGAAGGGATTTGGACTTGCTGTTCATTTTCACAGAATGTGAAAATGGATAAGGTTGGAAGGGATCACTGAATGTCACCTGGTCCAAGCTCCCTGTTTAGGCAGGAGCCCATAGAGAAAGTAATCAGGATTGTGTCCAGAGGTCTTGGAAGACCTCCAGTGGTTTGCTAAAGTGATTCTGTTGGATGGATACTGTTCTGTGATAAAGTGGTGTGAAATTTTCGTGCCTCCTGGAATCTGTGTAGGCTATTCTGTGCTTTCTGGTCAGTCAGCTTTTATCCACAGCAGTTTTGTTTTCACCAGTACTAGTTTTGTTTTTTTTGGATTGTGCTTTTTCCAGTAGTATGCATTCTTAAAGATCTTTTCAGGTAAGACACTTTGCATGTACACCCTGATGTCCTGTGAGGGTGTATTCTCTCACTACTGCAAACAGAAGATGTAGTTTTTGACTGTTGTAATTTCCCAAGGAACAATGCCATCTGGCCATGGTAGAGGCCTCACATATATTTTCTGTAGCTTTAGAGTACAGATGCCATAAGCTGACATTTTTCTTCAGTCCCTGTGGAGAAATGCTAAAAGACAAAGCTGAGCAAAGAGAAGTGTCTGTGTTGGCAGTTCACCAGAAACAAACTCTACATGTATTGGGAGCAGGAACACTGAGAGAGCTTGGTGTGCTGCCCTAAGAAAGGAATGGGAAAAGGGATGGAGCGGCACAGAGGTGTTGTGGTCATGCCCTGTTTAAAACAATGCAGCTAATGGGAACTGAGCCAGAGGAATGGCCAAACCAGTGACCAAAAGCTGAACTTCTGTTTCGTTGACTTGGAAATACATATTACTTTTAACACCCTGCATGTGCTAAGGAAGTAAAACCTGTACATGCTTTACATGTATGAGTATAGTCACTCAAACTGCACCTTATCATGAGATGACATCAACTGGAATGTTGTCTTTTCCCCACCTCAAAGAAAAAATTAAAATCTTAAGGGGGGAAGGAAGTCAGAGGAGACTCCCCCTTTGTATCCTGGAATGGCCAATGGGCTGTACCCCTCTGCTCCCCCTTATTTCATGGAAATACCATTGCTTATTTCATGGGAATACCATTGCTTGTACTTTCTCTTATCAGTATATTTATCAATGACAATTTATGTACCTTATTCTGTCACAAAGATCAGTAAATCACACTTACCTGGGATCGTGAATGTGCCCAATGTTGATGCTGTGCTATTTGTGCATCTGTGATAGTGAGAGTTCTAACGCAGACTCAGAGTGAACAAGACATTGTTTACTCTACATTATCTGTGAGGGTCTCCTAGGGACTCAAATAGATTAAGAAGGGGATGATCAGCCACCTCTAAGCCCACTACATCTGTGGGTAACCCAGAAAGCAGTGGGATCTTCATTTCCTAAATTTTTACATGCCAGTCCTCACTAAGTGCACGTTGTAGCTCTTGTGATAAGAGACCTGAAACCAAAGGAAGTTAATGTGTAACTCAAAGACCAGCACTTCACCAGTGTCAGGAGTTTTTCACAGTAGTTCTGCAGACTATTGCTTTTACCTGGAAGATGTTAATACTAAAATTGTCCTCTTTCTGATGTAGGCTGGTAGTGTACTTCTGTGCAAGCTTACCAGGTAGGTGAGACAGAGATGCATGATTCCTAATGTGCATTTTGAGTGTTGGGGAATGACTGTAATTAACTAAAACTGGTTTTCACTGGATACTGGCATATTACTGAGCATTTCTTAGTTCTGGTTTTGCAGTTATTTACACAATTTGAAAGCAGGTTTGGAGAAGACTCTCACTTGATAAAATTTTCCTAAATTCTACTACTTTTCTGACTGTCCGTTTGATTTTTGCTGCAAAATGTTTTAAAGCCCTGCTTGATAGAATAGGTTTTACTTCTACCTTGTTGCTTAAATAAAAAAGTTTCCCAGTTGATTATTGTTGTCTCTGTTTTCTGAATTAAAACCTGATGTGTTGCATTCATTCATGGGGAGTGTATTGGGTCTGGCTGAGATGGAGATAATTTTTCCATAGCAGCCCTCCCAGTGCTGTGCTTTGCACTGGGAGCTGGAAAGGTGTTGGTAACACCTTTGTTACCACGGGTAACACCAGTGTTTTGGCTACTGCTGAGCAGGGCTGGCACAGCATCAGCACTGTGTCTCAATATTCCTCGCCCACAACCAAAGGGACACAACCAGGCCAGCTGACCCAAATGAACCACAGGTGGGGAATGCAGCCCTCCACAGCTTCTCTCACTTTTCGTCTGGTGGAGGAATTTGAGGAGGACACAGAAAAGCCTTCTGAGCCACAGTGCTGGGCTTGCCTTCCTCAAATGCCTTGAGGATGAGACATCCCAGCATCTGTCTGAGCTTAGGGATCTGCCCCCTGCACTGGGAGGGGGGACCCCAGGTTGTCTCCAAGATGTTACCCCTCCAAACCAGCCCTGTAGCTGATGGGTAGTAGGATCCTGGGGTGCCCCTGTCTCAGCAGAGGACATACAGGATTCTGGGGACTCCCCCAGCCTGGAGACTGTCCCCTGCCAGCTGGAGAGAGCACAAACCCAAGTGTTTGGCTCAGACCCTCCCCAGGTGCCCAGAGCAGCCCCTCTTCCTGACCGTCTCCTTGTCACCCAGGACATTCCCATCTCCGCAGGGAGAGCCACAGGCTGAGTGGGCCTGAAGGGTGCTTAGACTCCTCTGTCCATCTGCCAGCACCCAGATGGACTAATCCATTTACCAAGAGAGCCAGTAACTTCAGCATCTACTGCTTTAGTCTTGATCCCCACAGGGATTTGGGGACCCCTAGGCCCAGGAGTCCCTGCCCTTCTAATCAGACGATTGTCAACTGCCAGGATGGGTTTGTTTATCTTACCTGGAGTGATTGATTCTCACAGCGAGATACAAATCATGGCATGGACCCCCGTGCCTCCCTGTTACATACCTGAGGGACAACAGCTTGCCCAGCTAATCCTTTTTTACAGCATGTGGGGGAGGGGGAAAGGCATTCAGGGGCTTTCGGGAGCACAGGCGAGCCTCAAATATTCTGGGCAAAAACCATTTCTGTGGCACAACCACTAATGACTTGTCAGATAGATGGATGCAGATTCAAAGGCTTGGTGGACTGTATTAGGGAGGGTTTAAACCATACCGAATCTTGAAACCATGACACCATTAAAAGCTTAAGAAAACCCAATATTTATTACTAAGAGGTGGCCAACAAAACAAACAAACCCAAAAGGGAGGAAGAAGGAGAGAAATAAGCCCCCAGCACGACCTCCCCAGTTACCCAGCTGTTGCCCATAAAGTTATCTTACCGACCTGTAGGGTTGGCGTATGCCTTATATAATAAGGAAAAACACCTCCTTGTGTGATGGTGAACAAAGAGCCTTTATTTTAAAATCGGCGCTGTTTTATCCTTTAACACCATGTGACTTCTTTGACCAATGAGGTTACCTATGTCGGCGCATGCTCCCCTGGGCTCCTCTACCCCGGCACGTACCCTGTGCCTTGGACATGCCTCCCAAACCGACCTAGCATGCCTATAATTACCCATAGTAGAAGCTGCATCCTTGGAGAGTCAGTAAGTTCACAAACTGGCAGGCGTCCCTGCCAAAGGTAACGTTGTCCTTGTTGTGAAGTTAGCTCTCTTCCAAGAAAGCTCTATCTACTTTTATACAATTAACTGAGTGACCACAACCTCCCAGGTGTGGCCAGCACTGCCCAGCCAGAGGCCCTCAGCCCCACCTCCCGGTTATGTAAGTGTATCTTCTGCGCATGTGTGAGAACTTTGGAAATCCCCTAACGCACGCGCAGTATGCTTTGGGGGTCTTTCTTAATTGAGTCTGGGGGCGCTGCTTCATCCTCCTCCTCCTCAAATTCTCCCTCAAGCGACCTTGGAGGACAATTAGCCAATCACAGAACACCAATTAAAACAGTTTATACAAGAAACTCTCTTCAAGGAAAACCTTCCTGTTTATCCGTGCTTGTTTTCCCGTAACTTGGCAGGGAAAGAGTAACACTTTCACAGGTGGCGGGGCCAAACACAGACCAAAAGTATCAGTGTAATTAACCCCTAATACAGTGGACACAGGAGCAGATGCTACAATTGTTAAGGACACTGACTGGCCAGCTGACGGGCCCACTGTTTTTCCTGCTTCGACTGTCCAGGGGGTTGGAGGCATACAAAGGCCTAGGCAGAGTGCACAAATATGCACGGTGTTGGGGCCAGAGGGGCAGGTTGCCAAGATAGCTCCCTTTGTTGCTCCTATTCCATGCACCTTGTGGGGAAGAGATGTGCTCGGCCAATTTGGCACTGTTATGCAAATTGCAACTAGAGATGCTCAAAATTTTTGGTGAGGGCCATTGACCAGCCGTTCCAAGGACAAATTAAGCTGACATGGAAAACTCATGACCCTATATGGGTAAATCAGTGGCTCATGAAAAGGGAATGGCTTGCTCCCCTAAGAGACCTAGTCCAAGTGCAACTAGATGCAGGACATATAGTGCCAACCTCCAGTCTGTGGAACACTCCGGTGTTCTGCATACCAAAGAAAAGTGGCAAGTGGAGGATGTCGCATGACTTAAGAGCAGTTAACTCAGTCATAGAACCCATAGGGGCATTACATCCAGGACTTCCCTCACCTGCTATGCTTCCAGCAGGATGGCCTTTAGTGGTAACTGATTTAAAGGACTGTTTTTTCACCATTTTTCTACACCCCAGCAATGTGCCACGATTTGCTTTCTCCATCCTCGCTCTAAACCGTGCACAGTCCATGCAGAGGTTCCTCTGGGTTGTTTTGCCTCAGGTGACGAGCAATAGCCCCTAGATTTGTCAGACTGTTGTGGTAAAGGCTATCCACCCTGTCAGAAAGCTTCACCCCTCAGCAATCATTTACCATTACATGGATGACATCTTGGTCACCACAGCCAAAGAGACTGAGTTACAAACTGTTATAACTGCTCTGACTAATGCTGTCCAAGAAGCAGGGTTGCAGGTCGCTCCAGAGAAGATCCAACGATCTCAACCCTGGACCTACCTTGGATGGAGGATCGCGCAGCAGGAGATCTCAGCCCAGCCACTGAGAATTAAGGTAAAGGACACTTTAACCTTAAACGACTTACAGAAACTTTTGGGAGCCGTCAACTGGTTAAGGCCTATCTTAGGCTTGACCACAGAGGAACTGCACCCCCTCTTTGAGCTTCTGAAAGGTGATCCAGAATTGACATCTAGTTGATCTTGGACCACAGAGGCAAAGCAAGTGTTAGACATGTTCTCAGGCAATCGATAGCAGACAAGGCAGAAGGAGAAATCCTGAACTTCACACCTGCCTTGCACTTGTTCCTAGCAGGTTCCGGCCACTTGCAGTTTTGTTTCAGTGGGACCAGGCTGAATCAGATCCACTGAGGGTCCTGGAGTGACTGTTTCTGCCCCACTCACCACCAAAGATTGTGTGGGCAATTAATGAAATGTTTGTCAAGCTTGTCATTAAAGGCAGGGAATGTCTACAGGAATTGGACAGACGAGATCCAGTGACCATCTACATCCCAGCGACAAAGGACAACCTCGACCGGCTACTGACTGAAGATGTTGATTCCAGGCAGCCTTGGCAGGCTATGACAGTGACATTTCCACTCACTGTCCTAAGCACAGACTTTGGGCAGAAATGTGTAACCTACCCTTGAAAGCCACACGCAGATGCCAACACCAGCCAGTAAAAGGCCTCATGGTTTTTACTGATGCATCAGGATGGTCCAAAAAGACTGCATGGACGTGGGTAAACCCTGCCACAGGACAGTGGGAAAAGGAAGTACAGACCATGAACCATGGTTCGGTACAGGTCCTAGAACTTGCAGCTATTCGCATTGCCTTTGAACTGTTTTCAGATCAACCAATTAACATCGTTACTGATTCATGTTATGCAGCAGGTTTGGTTTCACGTCTTGAGGCTTCCTTCCTTTGAGATGTTGCTAATCCACACTTACTTGCTGAAATACGCACTGTATGGCTTCTTGTTAACCACAGAAGGTTTGATTTCTACCTAATGCATGTTAGATCACACACAGAAATGCTAGGGCCTATAGCAGAAGGAAACCAAAGAGCCGATGCAGCAGCTGTGTTCACTGCAGTGCCTAGGACACTGGAGCAAGCTAAATTGTCTCATTTCTTTTTCCACCAGAAAACACGTTCTCTGAAGAGACAATTTCAAATCACCCTCAATCAGGCTTGAGACACAGTCATGTCATGTCCAAACTGCCAACAAATTACTCTAATGCCATCCCAGAAAGGAGTTAAGCCCAGGAGACTAATAGCTAATGAGGTGTGGCAGACAGATATCACACACATAACCAGAGTTTGGTTGGCTAAAATATGTTCATGTTACAGTCAACATGCACTCCAGATACATAACTGCCACCACACACACTGGGGAAAAGGCAAAAGATGTCATAAGGCACTGGCTTAACTGCTTTGCAACAGTAGGGACTCCAAAAAAGATCAAAACTGACAACGACCCAGCATACATTTCAGCGAAGATCAAAACTTTCCTAACAGACGGGGGAATATCTCATTCCCCAGGCATACTGCACTCACCCACGGGACAGGCCATGGTAGAGAGAACACACCGTACCCTAAAAGACATGCTAAAAAGACAAAGAAAGGGGGAGTCCATCTGTAGCCCACAGGAATGTCTGTGAAAAACAACATATGTCATAAATTTTTTAAATCATGACAGTGCAGAGAAAAGTGGGTATGAGAGACAATACAGACCTCAGGCATTTTCCTTCCCAAAACAATGGTCATGATAAAAGACTTAGTATCGGGGCAATGGATGGGACTGGTGGACCTCGTGACTTGGGGAAGGGGGTATGCATGTATATCTCCCTCCAGGTGTGTCAAATCCTACATAGGTATACCTTCACAGCAGCAGCAAGAACCAG